ACTCCGAATTTATTACAACAATAAAAAGACGTCTCACCTAATACTGAAAAACAACTGCAGTCCTAGAGATAACTCTGAGTTAAAGCGTAATCACGTAATATATGAATTTAATTGCCCCTTTGACGGCTGTGCACGTCAACATGACTCATATATCGGGATTACTACTACCTCACTGACTAAAAGGCTTACGATGCATAAACAGAGTGGTGCTATCAAATCTCATTTGGACTCAACACACTCAATCACAATTAGCCGTGAAATCCTCGACAGCAACACCAAAGTAATATACCAGAACAGCAACTAAACGCATCTTAAAATTGCAGAAGCAGTCCTAATCGACATCAATAAACCAAAAATAAATATACAGCAAAAAATGACAACCTCACTTCCAACCCGGCGCTTAACCAACAACGAAAACAAAGAAGTAATAAAAACTAGCATCGTAAATAGTGACAAAGAAGAATATGATACTATCGATGAAGGAAAGGAGACCAAAGAAGATGACCAGCCAATTAAGAAACCAGACACCTAATTCGCATCAAAGTTCAATTTTACAACACCAAAGTTAATTTTTACAACGTCAAAGTTAATCTTGACAAAGTCAATATTTCCCTATATATACAGCAAGGAGCACTGACGATGATTTATTCGGAATCGAAATATGGCCTTATTTGCAGCATGAATTCGAAAAATAAGTTTATTTTGAATTTTAATAAACTAAACGTTCACCAAAAAACTTTAGTGAGAAAAATCGAAAAAACGAACTACAAACATATTAACGCCAAACATTCGGTAGAATTTATAGAATATATATATATATATTTATATATATATATATATATATATATATTATTTATTTCCATTTTATATTATCTTATTTATTTGTCTTAAATTCATTCATTTGCACCACAAATTCTACGTGTGCGTCACTTAATTATTGCGAGCATGTCATAGTACACGAACACAAATAAACAAAAAAAAACACAACAATAGTAAAAAAAATACTTATAAGTATTATTATTACTAATATTATAAACCTCTGTTCAATTTGAACATACCCAGCAGAAACAACAAACCTACACACATTCGGATGTACGTGTTGAGCTGCTTCAAATCACATTTGTCCACTTCCGGTGACAAAATTTTAATTAAGTTTTAGCATTTAATTAAATTGAAACAATAATTCTACTCTTAGCGTGATGCCTTCACGAAACAAAGTGTTATTAATAGCTAAATCCATATCCAAATCCGACATTTTTCTTTATTAAAAAGTACTAAGCAATACAACATTTCTTAAGGTGGCGCCAATAATTTTTTTAATTAATTTTTATTTCAGTTGTAATGAATTAAAAATTCATCTTTTCTGTTCCATTAAAATGCCCAATTCGCAGACATCAATAAAGAACTTGACTGTTTACTGAACGAAGTTGAAATGTTTTAATTTATCATAAAAAAATGTTGTCCAAACTAACTTATAAAACATAATTAACAATATATGCATGTATATATATATATATACATATATAAAATATATATATATATAATATATATATATACTGGTAAAAAACCAAAAATTAATTCTGTAATTTAAGAAACCTACCAAATTTCTAGCGTTGGATAGTTTTTTGTAACATTTCTCAATATTTCTAACCAAATACTTGTGATTATTTATTTTATTAAAATTAGAATAATATACAGTTTCCAATTCATTCTCAAGTTTACTCGGAGTCAGAAAGTTTTAAATCAAGAAGCAGCAAAAACCTTTTATCCACATCCGACACCCTAGTCTTCTAGCCTTCATTTTTTCGTAATTCGTGTTATACAGACTTACGCTATATCTGCTTCTCGTTTTTCTGGTCTTTTTCTCTGAAATTCACTTCCTCATTCTCAAACTACTTCTCTATTACATATGAAGTTCAAAGTGGATCTCAGGACCCATCCATTACAAAACTAATTAACAAGCGCTGTTAACACCGACAAAACAGCTCTTTAGAAATTAGTTAGTTGATTAATTGACTTGATGAACCTGTACCTCACAAAAACAACAACTCACAAAAACAACAATTGCCAGAATGGCACACGAGTTGGATATCATTACCAACATCTAATGATCGGGCACGACGCCACAATATGCAAAGAAAAACACATTTTTGAAGTTCTTTTACATTGATGCAATAATTATAACACACCAGTAGAACAGCATGCGTTGAGACAAGGCTGCTGCGAGCAACGATAACGGTTTTTAAAATATGAATGATAAATAATAATTCAAATCGAATCTTTCAGTGATATTTATTTATTTATAAAAACGGTATCCCAAATTATGATATATGTTTAGACACAACAAATATACTGGTTACATAATTTAGCATAGCATATAAAAGTTTATAATGATCGAACACCAAGTCCGGGCTAAGACCATACATAGTGCGGATCTAGACAACTTTGACGGTGTGGGCCAAAATTTGTGATAGCGTGGCCAAATTTTTAACTTTTTTTTTAATTTTGACGGAGCCAAAATTTGTGGTGGAGTGGCCAAACTTAGGCTGGTGACCTTGTTGATATAAAATTGTGTGTGCAAATTGAGTTTTACTGATCTTCAATAAAAATACTGATCACAGCGGGGAAAGCCAAAGCCTCCCGGCCCCTTAGATCTGCCACTGCCTGTATCAATCATATCATTTCAAGATGAAAATGAATGGGACACGATAACGAAATTCTTCAGGGAAGCGTAATAACTTTTTGTTTTTCATTTTCAAAATTACTGCCTCGCTGATTCGTTTATAGAAATTGACTGCAACTCTCTATTGGAAAAAGATGGCGTGGAAGTGTCCGACAAAGTGACAATCTGAAGTGTCATCAACATTTTTCGGAAATCACTTTTTTTTATTCGTTCGACAGTCGACTAGCAATAGAGATCCGATTCCATATTTCGAAACGGTAATAATTCACTGAATTAAATTTTCTAAATTATGTTATGCTCGTTGTGTGATTCGAGATGGTATTGAGGAGATAACTAGCTGGCTGGTTTTCAAAGACGACATTTTAACAAAGACCAATTCAAATAAAGACTATTATAAAAGTCTAACATTATAAAAATAATTAATATAGAATAATTAGTATGGCGGCAGAGTTAGGCGAAATATCTTTATTATCTTTTAAATCAAATATATTTTATGCTTCAAAAATTATTAAAACATCAATATCAAAATTAAAATTATCCATTTATTAAAGTTATTTCTATAAATGTCAACATTAAAGTAACGTTTGGCCGAGTGCGTGTAATATTAAAGACGGTAAAACAGAATTTAACCAAAAAAATAGAATATGAAACTTTACTTTGTTATGTTGTTAAAATATTTGGAATAAAACAGTGGCAAAAGACAACTTTCATGGGAAAGCCAAAAAACCAAGATTTTCAAATTTAGAAAAAAAATTCAATATTCAAATTTGTTTGGAAAATGTTTCAATTTTCTTGGTAATAGTGGTCTAAATTTGTTAACTTACGACCATTTTTGGGCTTATAATGTCTATTTTTCCTTCAAAACACTACTTTTTTGTCAAAACAACGAACATTTCTAACGTTTAATACAAATAACGCTCAAACGGGTGCACTGGCTCGCACGGTCCCATCGATCCGTTGCTGCATACATACTTTAGCTTAAACTAAGCAAAATTTTTCAATTATGTTAAAATAAACTCAACTTACAATCTTGTTCGTAGTTTCCAATTGAAGAAGTTTCAACTGTTTTTGAACTCGACAATAAAACTGTGACCTATCCAGTGCGGTCACTTTGAACCTGAGAGAATCATCGGCACCTTCGTCATAAATTGTGGGACTGCTTGAAATTTTTTTGCAATCGGCAGAACTGCCATCATTATGTGAGATACTTCTTGAGAATAATCTGTTACTGTCAGCTTCGTCATTCAAGCCCAACTCATCTCCATAGTTATAATACCTCCACAACCACAAATCTACATTCGTCAGCTTCTAAACAAAGTTGTTGAAGTTCAACATAACAATTAAAATAACCATTTTTCTGAATGTAAAAACATATAAATAAAACTGGTACAAAAAAATAGATAAAATTATTTATGAAGTAGCAATTTTACCATTAGATCAAATTGATAGATGCAGAAATGCAAAACATAAAGATAACAACAGAAAGTTTAAAACAATGATACAAAAGAAAACACCAAAATATAAAACAGAAATAATACAAAATACTTACATAGTTACTGAATGAGTTCTGCCACAACTCCCTCATTAAAAGAAACGTTTTGTCTCGCATGGCCAGAGATGTGAAGCAGTATTTATCAGAATGAGTCACAAGAAGAATTGCATTTGGAATCAATTTTGCCGTCTTTTCTCTTTTTATTTTGATTACATCAATCCATTTTATGAGAATCTTTAAAATTGAAAGTAAAATAGTGAAGGCTTCAATAAATTATAGAAGTTATAATATTCCAAAGTCTTACATTCAATTGATAATACATAACTTGGTAAGTCTGATTTTAAATATAACCATTTATACCACAAATAAAAGTTTATTGTGAGGTTTAAAATGCTAAATAAATATTTATTAAACTTCTAATGAACAATCACAGAAAAGCTTGTGTAATAGATAATATAATCAACAGAAATGCAGTGCACATTAATAATGGCAGTTTAATGTTTAAAAAATAGGATAAAACAATCCTCACTTTGGTTTCTTTTCTGAACAGGTAAACATAGAACCCCAGGTGGTTTTCACTTATATACATGCGACCATGAAATAAAATGTCCATTTGTAGTGCACAAGAATAATCTAGGAATATAGTTTATTAGTAATTCAATATTTTCATGACACATATAAAAAAATTAAGCATCTTTGGTAAAACATTGCAACAACAACCTGAAATTATTTTTTCACTTGGGCTAACTGATGTGAAAATCTTGTGAAAATCATCATTTCTGGATTTGAATGTCGGTCCAATCACCTTAGAGCAAAAATGTTACTACCAAATATAAAAATGTGTAAAAATGTGCATGGTATAAACTTATTTTTATAAAAATTGGCACTTAAAAATATTTAACATCATCTACTGAAAACAGATAATTTTTTTCAAGAGATGAAAAATTAACTTTAGAAACCTACATGTCTCCGTTTGGTTTCCTGCTTGGTTTGATTGTTTTTCAATGTTTTGGTGTGATGACTTGAAGCATCTGATGATCTGGATGAATGAATTGCTTTGGATTTACTCTTAATGCCCTGACCAACCAAGAAACTTTCATTATGCTCAAATGACTGTACCATCGACATGACACTGACATTTTATTTTATCAATTAATAAGTTAATCAGTTAATAAGCACAATCAACAATATTATAAAAATAAGCCCATCTGAAACAGTTAATATTTTACCAGCTCAAAAATATTAAAAACCTATTTGAATAATTAACTGATCACTAAAAAAGTTCATTACAAAAATAAATCTTTTCAACAGTCAATTATTAGAAACATGTTTTTAAACAAATTCCATCAACTAAATTTAAAAAGTGACTAACAATTTTAAATTTATATTAATATTTGTTGCTCGCTTTAATTGTTCTAACCAGACATAATAATGATGTTACATAAATTTAAATATATATTAAAAAAGGACATCAAAGGCTGGCATTGATTTACATAATCTATGAAAATAATAATGAACGTGATTGAGTTCATTTTGCTGAAACTGGAATAAGCAGGTAGAATTGAGATGCTGGAAAATTTATTATACATACAGCAAAGTAAGAATATGGCAGAAAAACATTAATGATTAATGACTGTTCAAAAATAATGAACTAACTTTTCTAAAATAATGAACAAACTTATTTGGCAGCAGTTTTTAATGAAATCCTAAGATTAAAAACATTTAAAAATAATTTTTTATCATCTTTGCTCAGTAATAATTAACTGTACGTACTATCAATAATACTTAAATATTAAGCCAGGATTTTATATAATAGTAACTAATTATTAATTAATTATTGATTCCACCCTACAACACAACCTAACTAACTAACTAAAGTAACTAACTAACCTAACCTACCTTTCTGCTTTAGTTTTGGTGGCAATTTGGGTGGAATCCAGATTTGCTAAATCATCTTTCTTACTTGAACTATTCTTATTTGCTGACATGAATGGCGAATCAACTTTATTAAACTTTTTCTAACAGATTTTAGTGACCGAGGTAGAATTACTTTTTAACGTTGTCAAAACAAAAGAAGGTCTCACGTGTTCATCACACAGGTGATTTTTAAATGTTACTTTACTTACATGAATGAGGTCTCTAAGGTAAATTGATAAAATGTAGAATGCAAGTTTTTAAAGTTGTGTCCAAGTTGATGAGTTGTCTATTTATTAGGTTAGAAAACGAAAATGAAGCAATATCATATTTGCGAAAAACATTTATTTTAAAATCCATTATTTTAAAATCTTAAATTATGTTTATCAATGTATTTAGGAATTGGACTGGTTGTCAGAGAACCATCCTGGGTGTAAGATGCAGACCCTTACCCAAAATTTTGTTCATTGTTGTAATGAAAATTGTGCTTCATACGAATAATCAAAAAAAATTATTTTAATTGCTGTAAGTTTCTAACCGATCTAACCCAGGATTTGAAGCATAGCACTTGACATGAACGTTAACTTGGAACTTGAAAGCATTTGCGTCATTGCAGCTTTAGCGTTTTTCATTTTCTTGAAATGACATTCACTCGGCTCTCGCTATCAAACGTTGAATTACACATAAGAAGTGAAATGATGCGTTTGGTGTGAACGTTGTCCAGAAAGCAATTACATTATTACACAGGATTTTTGCGTTATAAAGGAGCACCAGCTGGAATCTCCCTGCATCAATTATTATAAATAGATGCATGACGTCATTGTATCTCTTGCTTCCAGTAGAGCGTATAATGCAAGAAAAACGATAGAGCAATTTTTCTTGAAAATTCCATGCTACCAATAAAGTTTATAACGAATAGAACACGATAGGACAAAACCGGTATAAATTTAACCTGGTGCATGTAACCTCAAAATATAGCGAGATCCGCAACAGCTAAAATATAATTGTTTTGCGCGAACGCTTTCAGATTAATGTCGTATCGTACTGTTCAATCCGTTCAAGGTCGTTAATAGGACCAAAATTTTTTATTCAACAAAAGTAACGTACAATCAAATTATGTGTATGTCAACGTACCCCTACCTACATATTATTATGACGTATTATAAGTTATTATTATTATCATCATCATTATTATTATTATTATTTATATTATTATTATTATTGTTATTATTACAACGTGTTATAAGTATATGGTACAACATTGATTGATTTGATTTGATTTGATTGAATGTGATTGGTTGGTAGCTTTAATTGAATACATTGATCAGGTGCATTGATCGGATGAATAGGTTAGATGCATTGATTGGATGCATTGGTAAAATAGATCGGTTGATTGATTGAATGTATTGGTTAGATGCATTGGTTAGATGAATTGTTTGGATGGATCGATAGATAAGTTGGTTGGACGCATTGAAAAAACTCAACAGGAAGGAAATATAGAAACCACTAATTGAAGAGATGAATGAATTTGATGGAGACAAACGAACTTCAGTGATTTGCACATGCATGAACAAACAAAAGAAAACATTCTCAGATCTGCCTTTTCAGTTCTAATCAGATGTAAACTAAAGTGCTAATTACCATCCTTCGTTTGGTTTGATGGCTAGAATTCGAATTTGCAATTTTGATATGTAAACTTTTAAAATATTAAAATTATAATTTTTACAATAACACTAAAAAATAATTTTTTTGAATTACCTACCTTACCTGTGCCTGATTCACCAGAGACTCATAATTTTGTAATTTGTGATAATAATTTTACTGAACAGTTAGTTCTTCAAAATAAATTTATAACTTTAATTATATTTTCGTCATCGTAATTATTTTGAATTCAATTGAAAAGTGCTGAAAAAACAAATTAACAATTGCTTGATTTTGAAGCGAATTTTATAGATAACTATATATGATGAAACGTGAAAGAAGAGAGCCTGATATTGTTTTTAGACGTTCGTCAGTTCATCACACAATGGTTGAATGTGTTTCGCTTATTAGCGTGAGTCTTTTTAAAAATTCGATAGCGTACAATTAGAACGTATCGCATGTGGTTCATAGACGCAGACGTGTTTTCAGATGGATCAAGTGACAACTTTCTGTGGATTCGTTCAGCATTCTGTTACACGTCTTGACATTTCTGCTCAAATTATGCTACATTTAGTTCGAGGGACTTTTTTAAACTTCAGTTTATGGGAATCAGTTTGTTTTGAACTGTCGTTTTTCATCATTTTCAATTTCTCACTGAACAAGTTTTGATTTTAATTTTTGTTTTTTTTCAACTGAAAATAAAATCCATGTATCTGTTTTTAATGTAAAATACAGTATTGGTTACGAAAACTTCGTTGAAAACACTGAAGACAATGGACCTGCAAACGTGAAAACTTGGTACGTGCAGATGAGCGAATCACACAGCCGAACATGACAACCACACAAACATCAACATGCACGCACATGAATGGATGAACATAACATGCACACGAATTTGCATTTACATATGTGAACATAAAATGCATCTGAACTGAGCGTAACTTCAACATGCAAATAACGATCACATGAACATAACAGTCATATAAACATAACATTGACATAAATGTAACAATAACACGAAAGTAACATGCACATGTGCGCTCGATAACCATAGTACGCTTCTCTACACTCCACCGCAAAAAATCTCATTATTTGCGAACGTAACATGCAACAACACGCACATCTCTACTTCCGGTTATTCCGAGAGTTGTCTATTCTTCTTCCCTTCCTTAGCAACGCCGTAACCGGGAAAATGGCATTAGTGAAGCCCATCAAACTAATTGGTAGGCAAAAATATGCAGGAAGTAAAGGTGACAATGAAAAGAAAATATTCTCTGCTTCACAAAAAATATTTTCTGCATGACGTTGTGTCACGTATGTCGCATTTATCAAGATCACGTACCTAGTATAAGTATATTATTATTATTATTGTTATTATTATTTTATTATTTATCTTTTATCTTATCCACTGAACAAGAGGGCAGGTCATGTGTTTACAAGTTTCAATGTGATTGTACCTGCAAAGATTATATAACTTTTTACCGATTAATCAATGTAAAATAACTACAAAATGAAAAAAGTATATTTCGAGAGCTTATTTATTTCGCATGGCTGAAGACTTTTTAAATTTTTAATATCCTAATTCTCATTCTCTGATTAAATTTGCAAACAAAACAACAAACCAGGTCAGCGCTAATCTCATCCGATGTGCAACAACACATGAGTCACTTTAATGTATCATCATCATTATCATCTTATTCATCATCATCATCATCTTATTCATCACCATCATCATCTGGTTCATCACCATCATCATCTTATTCATCACCATCATCATCTTATTCATCACCATCATCATCTTATTCATAATCATCATCATCTTCTTCATTTCATCATCATCATCATCCTATTCTTCATTATCGTTTGAACGATTAGCAACTGACTCAACGCCACCAACATTTTATTCGTCATCATCTTGTTTGTCCATCACCACCATCATCATCTTCCCATCTTACTCCTCTTATTCCTATCCGTCATCATCCTAACCATCACCATTATCTTTTCTTACATCATCATCATCAACATATTTTGTCCGTGGTCATTTCTTTATCATATTTAATATTTATCATTATATGCATAATATTATTACCATTAATAATATAATCAATATAATAATTATTATTATCCTTACAACCACTCGTGACGTCATCTTACGCACCACCACCACCATCATCATTACCATCTTTTACATCATCATTTACCCATCATCGCCACGAGGAGTCTGCTCTTATCATTTTGTGGTGATGGGAATCTTGGTGAAAGTTGTGATGGTGATGGTGACGTTGGATGGAGGTTATAAAAATGTCAAGTTTCCCATACTGCTAGACTCATGTCAGGAGAAATGAAAGAAGCTGTTTATGCAAAAATGCATTGCGTGTGTGAAGTGTGTTACAAGCAGTAGAAAGTACAATGTTGTTGAGTTGACATTATCATCATCACAAGAACAACAACAACATCACAATCAACATTAGTGTCATCATCATCGTTATTATCACCACCATCATCATCCTCATCATTATCATCACCTCCATCGTCATCATTATCACCATCACCACCATCGTTATTATCATCAAGACTGTACGGACGTTAAATAGCTCTTATTACGAAGTTTCAATTGAAAGAGCCAGGTCCTCCTCTCTTCTCTGTCTTCTTCCTGTCTTCTCTCTCTCTCTCTCTCTCTCTTTCTCTCTCTCTCTTTCTTTTTCTTTCTCTCTTTCTATCTCTATCTGTCCTATTTTATTCCGTTATTTCTCCCATGTATTCTACTACATTTTGTGTCTGTAACTATTTAAAATAACATGAAAGTTAAATTCTCTTCTCATCATAGTGCATTCTTTATAATTATTATCACCATCACCATCGTTGTCGTCGTCATCATCATCCTCAACATTATTACATTATTTATTGAATATATTAAGAAATGTTACATATATTTCATTTCGTTAGTTAGTTGAGAAGTTGGCAGGCCGTGATCTCAAGCGTTATTTTTTTGATTCACCAAGCTTTTAATATGGATTGGTTCATTTCAAGTTCTAACCCTCTCTTTGATTAATCGTTCTTGGTAAAACAGTTTATGTATTTCTCAATTAACTCGTCCATTCCTACATTTATAACTTACAACGTCATACAACCATCTGAATATTCATACACTCACCAATCCAACAATCTTTCCAACGATCATGATTCCATCATATATCTATTTGTTCGTTCGTTTGTTCATTCGTTTAATCATTAATTCATTCGTTTGTTCGTTCGTTCGTTTGTCCATCCATCCATCCATCATCCATCCATCATCCATCCATCCATCCATCCATCCATCCATCCATCCATCCATCCATCCATCCATCCATCCATCCATCCATCCATCCATCTATCCATCCATCCATTCACTGCCATCTACTTGCCATCCAGACCATCCATCCATTATTCACATGTTGATCAACTTGTTTAATCGACAACGCAAGGCGTATTTTAATTTGGAGTCGTTTTGACAGAATTGTTCGC